CTAGAAGCAACTTGGGCACGAACTAACTTAGAGTATATCACTCCTAGCTATGCCCTATCTAACCATCATATCCCCGACTGAAAAGCTTTTTGACACCTCAGGTGGTTCCCTCGTGAGACTAGATCAAGACTGTCTGAATCAAATTGAATGAAGTTTTGTAAGAAGCGCAAACCAAACAGAATTTAGTTCTGTTTGGTTCAAAAGCAAACTTATTCGACTTCTGTTCTTAATTCTGTCTTTTGCACATATAAGGTAAGTCTGCCTGCATGACATCTGGTCATTTCTGGAACAAAAATCGCTTTTTTTTTACAGAAAATATTTCATTTTTTTTTGTATGAAGCAGGTATGTCTTATGACCAAATCGTACATTTTACATACTGACTATTGTTTTTAAAGTGTACTTGATCAGGTCTCGATTGACATTTATGAAATGCAGACTTCATTGATCTCTTTTAAACAAAACAAAATATTCTTTTACATTATTTTATCTTGTTTATTGAACAAATAAGATAAGAGAAAAGGTTCTATCGAAGAGAATTCATACATTTTAAAAATATTGTATCCTTAGATGTTCTTGAATCACAAAAGTCAGACAAATAGTCGAAATTGCTTCAGAAATAATCAGCAAAATATATATCTCGAATACTATCTCAGTGCAATACACATCTAGTATTTCACATACACGCTTGATATATTTTTCACGATTAGTGAATAGTGATGTGACAAGTTCGTAATTTTTGTTTTTATATTCAATGCTTTTCAGCCTGTCTTTGAATAAACTTAATAATAAAAAGAAGAAAATTCGAAACTGGTTTCAAGAAGATGATATCGATTCCATAGATGAACTCATATATTCATATAAAATTTACTGATCAACTAATATTGTTATGAACTATGAAATAAAAAGGATTCATTTGTTTCTATTTTAGAATTACAATGTGCGGTGAACATGATCAAAATTCAAAAGTGGAATGTTTATCATTGTCATTAGTGAGTGATGCTTAATTATTAATCAATTGAAATTGATCATTACTAAACTTATTTTTTTTTATAGCATCTTAATAGACTAATTGGTTACAATGCAAAAAACATAACTTCTCTAGTCAGATATATTTGTTCTGTGTGTACATACTTATTACGAAACCCGGTTCAATTGAACTGTGGACATCGCTATTGTCAATCATGTATTAATGTTGACGAAAGGTAAGCAGAATTATCTATTTTTTTTAAATTTTTAGTTATTCATTGATTTGAAGCAAATTTTTTTAATTTAAAGCTCTCCAGTCAAATGCAATGTATGTAATGAAATTACATCTCGAGATAGAGTAAGATAAATTGTTTTTTTTCCTAGCTTTACAACTATGTTTAATATGTTTTGTTTGATTTTAAGATAATTCTTGACAGAGGTTGTCAAATTGACATGGAAAAATTAAATATTATTTGTTCACTTTGCGATTGGAACGGGATATTTAAAGACTATCAAGTAATATTATTTTATATTTTTTTTTCTTCTAACTATTGTTCTATTTTTTTTTCTCTGATTCTCAGGAACATTTGGATAAAACTCATTTGAACCCTTTCTGTGAACATTGTGGTAAAGAATTCAAAACAGTCAATACCCTTACTCAACATATATCTGTCTGTGAGAGAGTGACTGTCAATTGTATTCTACAGTCATATGGATGTAATGAGCAGGTTTTAAAGAAATTTTTATTTTAAGCCTATTACTCATCAAAGACCCTCGATCTTTTTTTAGTTTCTTCGTATGAACGCACAAGATCATTTTATAAGCGAACGACATCAAAGTGCTTTACTTCAATATATTTGTAAAAATACTTCACATTCGATGATTAATCAATCATTAGTATCTTCTCCTACAACAGTAACTACCGATACAGAAACTGATGAGAATTCTCATGCAAATCTTCAACAATTATTTGAAACAACGAATATTCTATTGAGTAGTATTAATGTGTTAAATGATGATATTCAACGTGTCAGTTCAGAGTTGGTGCATCATCAAACTTCAGCACGGTCCGTGTCTGAAGAATTATCAAAATTGAAAATTTCTATTGAAGAAACAAATTCATCGATGGATACCTATCAAATCAATCAACAAACACTTGAAGAAAGTTTCAATTCACTTCATAAACAGCTTGAAGATCAAAAGAATATTTCCACTGATGGCAAACTAATATGGAAAATTACAAATGTTCAACAAAAAATAGGTTTGTTAAAAAGATAGTTTTTTTTTTCACATTCAAGTCTCATTTAACAAAAGAAACATTGATTAGTCTCAGAATGAAATTCAAATGAACTATAACTTAGAATTTTTCATTGTTATGTTGCGTTTTTCGAATTTTTTAGCTGCTGCTCAGTGTGAACAACAAGTATCTATTTACTCTCCTGTATTCTATTCATCACCAAATGGTTATAAAATGCGACTTCGTCTCTATCTGGCCGGTGATGGTAATGCTAGACGTACTCATATGTCTCTTTTTTTTGTACTTATGCGTGGAGAACATGATGCTCTGCTTGAGTTTCCATTCAGTTTCAAAGTAATATTTTGTTTACTTGATCAAACATTTCAACAACGACATATTATCGATTCATTTCGACCTGATGTAAAATCAAATAGTTTTCAAAGGCCTCGATCAGACATGAACTTAGCTTCTGGTATACCGAAATTTGTACCTTTAACAATGATCCAACAAGATAACAATCCCTATGTTCGTGATGATACTATGTTTATCAAAGCCTTAATTGACTTTGGGAACATACCAAAACCACTTGTATCATATACATTAAGTCTCAATCCTGGTTTGCCATTTCTAGTTCAACAAGAATGGATCAGACGTGAACTTGAAAAACGAACACAAGAAAAATTATTAAATACAACTCACACATCTACATCTATTAACCATGATATGAATACGAATGAAAATGGAAATAATGGTTAATGCATTCAGTGGTTTAGGTAATTTCTTTTTTGTAAGAATATTTTTAATATGAAAGTAACTAATATAACAATTATAAACAAGACATTGATGTAAACGTTTTTTTTTCCTTTTTCTCAAAATCAAAGAATCATAAACCACCCCATTGAATGTACTGTATTCAAGGTACCTGTGGACTAGGTCGTTTGACAGTAGAATACTTTTTTGGGTGCCCTGCTGAGAATTCTTTCACTAGATGGATATAGGGAGCTGCAGATTCGTGTGAGTGTGAATCTGGACGCATGAATAACTAAAGAATCAAACTTTTAGCTGTTTATGGAAGGCTCTCAGAAAAAAAGTCAATGTACAATTATTTCTTGTGGCTTATTTTTTCATCATTCGATGCTTAATAAATTAGAAACTTTCACTTAGTTGAAAAGAGTCTTTTGTTAACCAAAAGAATATTGAACAAATAACTGATAAACAAAATTCACCTTTGAAAAGCTTCAAGCCAATATTAACATCAAATAAATTCGACTGCATGAAATAGCTTTAGTTGGATTCAGTACCAATGATATCAAGCAAGAATATGTTATATGTAATCTAAGGAGTTGCGGGTGTAGCTGTAGGTCAAGAGATAACCAACACACTCATCCAGACCCATATTTAATGAGCAATTAATGATTCAAGGACAATATTGTTCGTTTTTAAGTTCAAGTTCATACTTCGAACAGAATTCATCGTTTTTAAAAGTAAAGTAATTATATCTGTAGCAGTATTTGATAGTTAGAATATGTGCTGGTTTGCTTTATTCTATTGTGTTCTCACTAACTACCAGTAGCAGATAGTAACATAAGGAACACATTTTGCTAATTATTACTAAAAAATGGTAGGTCAGAAAATATGAACTTCTGGAAAGTCTTTTTGTTTTGAAGAATAAGAACTTGCAAGAAAATTATTACACAGAAATGTAGACATACTAAGTAGTAGTATAATTGTTAATTTGCATAAGCGATAAGACATTCTTGAACGCACTACTTACAGGTTGAGCATGAGCGTAGACGAGAAGATACACTAACACCCATACACATGCCGAAATCCTCTCACCTACACCTACGTCTTTTCTTCTCGAATTGTTGTTTTTTATTCTCTTGTACAAGATTCTCTCCGTCTTTGATTCTATGTATTTTATTCTATGCAGTAAAATACAATAAGTGCATGAAACAGCGTGTGGGTGTGCAGAAGATTTATTTTCTTGTTCTGAGTATTGCATTTTTTCTATTTTGTTTCTATAAAAGTCTAATGTTCGAAGTAAATGAAGTCGGGACGAATTGCTGTTTTACATCTCGAATCGAAAATATATATTTTCTCGCAATGAACACAAATTTTTTTCCCAAAAACGAAGTGGTCACTGTGGAAGCTCTGTTCTAACACATTTTCATGAGATGAAGCATTTTACTTTTTCTCTTTCCACAAAGCAGCAGGTAAAATTGCAAACTTTCACCTTACCATATTCGAATAGATTAGTTTCGGTCTCTCATGCGCAGATCATTTTTCTTTTCGAGTATCGCCGTTATCTTGTCATAAAATGTTATTATTATAAATGACAAGAGAGCAAATAGGCATACATGAATATCTAAATACGACTCTTTCATAATGACAAAATATATGATTTGATGACAATATTGTTATATGGACTTTGAAGTGTCACAATTCATTTTGGAGAAGAACTTTGACATATTCATTGCATCTTGTGAGGAAAAAAACATCACGTGATGTCCTTTGAGCAACAGATACAAAAGCAAAGCGAACGATTTCACACTCTTTACGATCGTTTATTTGATATACAATGGAGCGAAGCTGCGCTGCCAGAAGCACAGTCCCAATTGGTGGCTTGTGAAAATCAGGCTCGTCTTGCGCAAGACAATATTGATGCGTTTAACGCGGCAGCTGACAAGGAGTATGAACGTTTAGTCGATATTAAAGGACATAGTGTTAGACATGTCTGGTACAAGATTCAAGGTAAACTAGAAGAACGCTTGGATGAACATGAAATGTCATGGTTGCGAGATTTTGAAAAATGTAAAGAAGAAGAACAACGTTTGTTTCTACTAAAAAAAGAAATCAGTTCAGCTCAAGCCTATTTGCAAAAATGTGAAGACGCTTATGAAGAGTGTACCAAAACCAAAAAAGAACTCAATGAGTTATTGGATTATTTTTTTTCTGGTGTCACACAGTTTTATCCTGAAGAAGATATAATGGAACAAAGTCTAAAAAATGAAGAAGCACATTTAAACAACGCACAGAACAATCACCATGTTTTAACTCGAGTCGTTTACTTTCTGCAAAAAAGCTCATCAAGCCATCACTATCTCTCGTCAGGCACTCGACGAAGCGCTGAATATGAATACATTCGACTTGTTTTCTGATCGCTCATTTGCTGACATAGCAATAGGTTCCTACTTAGCTCAAGCTAGAAATGCCTCAGTGGAAGCACAACAATTCATTAATGAAGCCAGCCGTGTTTATCCAAATATGCCAAATATTGGTGATCTGTACATAAAGCAAGACAATCTTGTTTTTAATATCTTGTTCGACGAAGTTGTGAGCAATACGAATATGAAACGAATGATTCATGAATCATTGGATTGGATCTCTGAAGTAGACGCAGTTTTGATGTGTATCTTATTGGAAATCAAGGAAAAGTTGAACGAATGCGAAACTGATAAAGAGAAGGCGAGCAGAAATGTAAAACGACTAGCAGCTGAACATTTTAGAACTCGAGTCGCTATTGTGCGACATATCATATAGATGCCGCTTCCCGACCTATTCATGTGGCACAATGTAATAACTGAGGCTATGGCTACTGTTTTCTCTTTTTTTTGACTCTCCTATACTTGTGACATTGATTTTAACTTCGCATGAATTTTTGCAGCTTACTTTTTTTCTTTGCAACCAGATCACTCAATCGATTAGTACGTAAGTAGTGTACGCCTATGGTTTCTTTTTGAAAATTTTCCCAATACAATATTTTTACAGCCTTCGTGAAAAGATAGAAATTAGTTAATTATGACAATAGAGAGTCAATCTTTTCGAAGCTTCTTATGAACAGAAAAAGCTTACCAGGGCAACCCTTAATAGTATTAGATAATGGTACTGTGAGCTATTTTCTGTATTCAGTTCATTTTATCTTAGTCATTGTTGGTTTTGTTTTGATTTCACACTTGAGTTCATTGTGTTACCAATATTTCGATGTGACTATGACAAAGTGGAACCGACGAGTTTCGGTCAAAAATAATTCAAAAAAATGCCAAAACTCACATAGAATTAAGATACACAAAATTATTCATACAAAGCTAGAATAGATTTTTGACATTAGAGATCTTGCAAAGGAAGACTATTTGTAATTGAATGCATCAAAGTAATGTGAAACACCGAGTAGAGTTGTAAAAACTGCGATTGCTCGACCTTATCACGGTTCCATTGCGCTGTGAATAGGTTTTTGTGCGATTCGGTTCAGTTACGAGTGGTCGTAATTGTGCAGAAGTCTACCATCGATCACTGTCGTCCTAGATAAATGTCACATTACGATTTATATTTTTTGGCAAACATGGGAAGTAGTCTGTTGATGGAAGCTGTAGAAAAGTACTGTATCGTACATCATTGGCATATCGTTGTTGATTTACATTATTGGTATGACTGAGGCTTGGTAAACGTTTCATTTGGGTTAGTTATCGTCTCCACCATGAAGAACCAAATGGCTCCATATATTTTCAATCTAGGTTTTCAATTTGTCAATGTTCTCCTTCGATTTTACTTCGTTTATGTGTCCAAACAATGCACTGTAGGATTAGCAAAATCACCATCACACGAATGTTTAGCTGGTTCGATTACCTGAACTTGAGAGGGAATAAGGAAAAATTTGGTACTTCAACTTACTTCATAGGCATGCCAAAGCTATCTCTTACCACTTCTTAGCTATTTCAAATATACTATGAACGTGTGTCACGAGCATATTGTATAGTAGATTCATTGATACATTTAAGCTTACCACTTTTTCGTCGGTTTTCTATAGGTTAGACCAAGATGGGGTGTGGGTGGGTATGGGGTGTGGGTGTGGGTGGGTATGGGGTATGGGTGGGGTATAAGTGTGCATACGGATGTATCAGTGTGAATCTTCTTTTGAGAAAAGCCCAAACCCACGCCCACGCCCACACCCACACCCACACCCACACCCACACCCACACACTCACACTCAAACCCACACCCACACACCCACACTCACACTCACACCCACACACTTACACTCAAGCCTACGCCCACATCCACGCCGACACCCACACAACCACATCCGTTATATGGGCCGTTTTTTTCGCTAGAAGGGTGTGGGTGAGGGTGTGGGTGTTGGTGTTGGCGAATAGAATCCTGTACTCACACCCACACTCCACACCACCCACACCCCACACCCACACCCACACCCCACACCCACACCCACACCCCACACCCACACCCGCACCCACACCCACACACCCACATCCACACCTCACACCCACCCACACCCCACACCCAAACACACCTACACCCTCAAGTAATTCAATAATCTTTCCCTGACAATGTATATACATGTACTGTTGATTGATTTTTATAAAAGAATATAGAGTTTCATAGAAATATACAAGAATATCATGATTATCAAGATGCATTAAGAAAAATTTTATCTTTACTTCAATTCTAATTATCCTTTATAATATTATTTGAATTATTAATATGAATATTATGTTGTAAGCAAAGTTATATATTTTAAGAAGAAATACTTTCATCAATAAATCGTTTTTTAGTTAAATTATAATGATCATAATAAGCAAATAAATCATCATAGATTATTAAACAAGTTTATATTAAAATTGACGTAACATCAACAACGAAATCAATTTTAATTAATAAAATTTTTAGATATTATTTTATTGATAATATCTATACAATATAAAATAAAGATGATATTTTTTTGGTTTAAATTTTTCAAT